TCGCAAATGATGAGAACAAAAACGGGGACGGGGATGAAGACCAGGACAGGGATAAGGACGCAAACAAGAATGACGAAGGACTCTTCGGCTTCGCAGGACTCGGTTGACATCTTTATCCATGTGATGTTTGATTTTATGGGCCCATTTTGTGAGAGCGGGCCTGTTCTCTTCAGTTAGACCATTTTTAAGATGCCGTGATGCTCCCGGTCTGTGTCCACTTGTGAGGCCGATGGTGAAGAGGGTGACACTTCCTTTGCAATATCCAAACCATATCATGGGCCGATGATTGGTCCACATCCTAGTCACTGTAGGCCTGCCGACGAGCAACCAGCCTGGCAGAATTTTGCTTCACAATGTCGCCTTAATTATCGTGTATCTACATAAGACAGAAGTAGGAAGCAGCGAATAATTAATAATAGGAACTTTCTCATGTGCCCCTAAGGGAACGGATTAAATTTTATTAAATATAGTATTTATAATTAATTTTATATAATTTTTTTATTAAATTCAATTATAATAAAATACAAAATAAAATAAAATAAAATAAAATATTTATATTTAAAATTTATAAAAATATATGAATTTAAAATATAAATTTGTATAAAATAAATTATAAATACCATAATTAATAAAAATATAAGTTAGACAAACACATAATACTAATAAGGTGACATTGGGGAAATTGAAGGCATTCTTGAAAAAGGGGAAAATTTTTACGGTTTTGGGGTGAAGACAAGCTGTGTAAAATTAAGAAAAAAAAAGTGATCTATGGTCTAGTTTTAATTGAGCCTTAAACCTATTGTAATTGAGTATTATTGGTGGATTTAAAAAAATGTTTTACGGATTAAATCACAAAATATTGACTTTTCCTTTATTTAAAGGTTTTTATTGTATGATTTAAAATAATTTAGATGGTAAAACAATGGATTTTTCTGAATTAAAATGATTTTAATTTTTAAATTATTTAAAAATATCTTTGCATACTTGAAATTTGATGCCTTAGGAAGTTAGCATGTACAACGTGGAATTTTTATTAAAAGAAAATTGATACAAAATTAAACTTAAAAAAAAAGATAATTATTTTAAAATTGAAGGGAGGTATATTATTATATCTTTAATTACTAATCTTATGTTTGAATTGAGAGGAATAAAATTATTTCCCTTCATTTTCCTCTCCTCCATTACTTTTATTTAGATAAACAACTAAATTAAAAAAAA